GAATCTGGCGCCCCGGCCAGGACTAGAACCTGGGGTGTCTTCACTGCAGGCAGAGGATTAGCCTAGTGAGCCAAGGCGCCAGCCAGGACGGTTTCTTAAGACTCTGAGTTCAGCAGCTAAAAATGGTTATAACCATTTTCCTTATAATCAGCCAAAAAGGTATGTTTGAGAAGATTTGGGGAGATACACAAAAATGTTGCAAATGAAAACCACACTGAGATAAACCACAAGACTAAGTCTTAAGCTTTCTCCTAAAAATGTCAGTTGTCCTTTAGTCACTAAAACCGAGACACAGGAATTCTCAGGTAGATGTCTCCAGACACTGACTTAAAATACCTGAAATAAGTAACGCCTTAGTTTTACTTCCTGAATGCGGGAAATGCTAAGGTCCTTAACATTCCCCCTCCTGCTCCCATATAGTTGTTTTTAATTCCATCCACCCACAGGAAATGGCTACAGCCTCATTAAGCCAGACTACTAAAGGTTGTTCAACAAATGAGCCCAGTCTTGACGCTCCCCTGAAATCCAGCTGTGCTTACAGGAACTGGGGACCTTGAAGTGCAAGGATTTTGACCTTCTGCTTCCTAGAAACAGTGTGTGGGCCACCCACTCTGTCAAATGCACATAAAATCTTCACTCTTGAAAGCACTCCTTTAGTCTCTTAAGTGCTGGTGTGTTCCTGAGACTTCTGTCCTCTTTTCATCACACAGACTCTCCTTGGGTGATGTCATCTGCTGGAGTGATGTCTTTTATGCTCTTTGACTGTCTTTATGTTGATGATATTCAAATTTTGGCTATGTCCCTAGTCCCTTTAAATCAAAGTGTCTCAAACTGAAATCAATAGTCTCATCATTCATAATATATTTCACCACAAGTTTCCATTATCTGTCACTCTTCCTGCCTATCTTTAATTAATTATCTAAATTCCTGCTCTATCTGTGTTGTTCTTTGTCTCCAATATTGATTACCATGAAAGTCTCCTAACCTTTCTCCCTGCCTCCAGTCTTGTCTCTTTAAAATGACCCATGTTCCATACTGAAGCCAAAAGCTGTCTTTCTAAAATGCAAATCTTACTACTCAATTCCCAAAATTTTTCCATGGGTTTCTATTACCTTGAAGTATATCTTACGGTAGAAGAGTAGTTTGAATGCTACTAACTTCTCATCTGCATTATTTGACAATTGTTTGTATATCCTGTGCTTCAGTCATACTTAAATATTCATTTCATTCTATATTTCATCTTCATACTTCTGTCATGATCTTGGTAAGGCTGTTCTGTTGAAATATTCTTTAGCTCTATCCCTAATTATTTTCAACCTCCCCCAATTTCACCTGAAAATGCCTGTCCTCCTTTAGATTTAATGTTAACCAATCACTAATATTCTTTATGTGTGACGTAAATTAAATGTTAGCATCCTGTACTATTGTAATTGACAATCCTGTATATATTGTAATTGACTGTCAGTGTTGCATGCATGCTAGCAAACCTGTATGATGATTACAAGGACCATGTCTGTCCTAGGACTACTGGATTTTCAAAGTCTAATACAGTATTGGATACATAGTGGTTGTTCAATATATACTTGTTGAATAAGTATTAAGTGAAATAAACAGCATAATCTGACATTTTCAGCCCTACACTTTGGCTTCAATACCTACTGAACACTGTAGATAAAAAGTCCTATAAGCAGCTCCATGTCAATTTATCTGCACTAAACTTTTAATTTCTATCAGCAAATACACAATTTTTCATTCTGTTGCCTTATTGTCACTCCTGCATGTGTAGTTTGGGGCATAAGCTGGAAGAAACTTTTGACAGCAACTTACCCATCACTTCTATGTGCAACAATTCCACAAAAGTTACCAATTAAAGAAGTTTTGATTCCAACTCCTCCCCTGTTTCTGGGATATCCCAACTACAATTAGGTCAATAACTTATTTTGCCTTCCTAAATAGACCTATTTTTTTCCTCATTTTAGTTCCTAAAGCAGCAGCTTCCTGGTTTCCTCATTCCTGTGCTTGCTCATTTCCTGTGTCACCTGCCATTTTCTTCACAGCTGCCAGAGTGATCTGACCTAACTATTCATCTGAATAGAGATCCTCCCTCTCTTCCACCTGCTGAAAATCTCGAACTCTCTCCAACAATCACTTTTATCTATGTCTGTTCCTCAGATTCAAGTGAGAAGCTTGTAAAAAAAATACTGATGACTAGTATCCAACTCAGTCCAACTTAATCCTAGTCCCAGATCTAGAGTTCAAGTATCCAGGACTCTGATGATGAGCCAGAGCCTGTGGATGTCTAATGTGATTTTTTTCCAGCTCAGTCCCTGCACACTTCTCTACTCCATCAATAGCATCAGACCATATTCTCTATGTTTTATTGATAAATGCAATACATTCATTGCACTTAGTTTCATGCAGTCTGCCTACTCAGACTTCCATACAGGATTCTTCACTGCTGCTAGTGAGACCCTCATACCTGCCTTCATTGCTCAGTTGACTCTATCTAATCATTACAGAATAGCTGAGGCTTCATCACATCCAGCAAGCCTTTAATTTCCACTTACCACATAACTCACTTCCTTGCAATTAAAGAATCCAGATACATTTGCAGCTGTTCTTGTATATTCCCATAGACAGTAGTCCCACACATAAGTGTTTTTATCATTGCACATCACATTTTTCTCAAATTCTATGTTTGGATTGTTGTTTCCCCTGTAAGACTACCAGGGCTTTGAGAATAAGGGTTTGGTGTCTGTATCTGGAAGTTCAGAGGCTACAAGAGTCATATGCAGGGAAACCCAGAGGCCATGGCATAAAGTCTAAAGTCATCTGTCCACAGAAGTGATCTTGCAGTGGGGAATCTGAGAAGCATTTCAAGAAGCCCTCTTTTTTGGGGGAGGGGGTGGGTTCAAGTTTTACCATTGCAATAATTCTGGAGCATTGTACAGAAACACAAAAGGGGCAAAGGTGTATAAGGAGTGTCTCGAAAAACCAAAAATATCAGGTTTCATGTGTGCAGCTTCAAAGAGAAAACTAGATAGCAACATGGAGAAATTTCCAAATTTGAGATCTGGTTGTTCACTGACCTTGATCTATGAAAATAGTTAAAGGCATTTGATAAAATATAAGTATATGTATACATTTGTGTGTGTGTGTGTGTGTGTGCGTGTGTATTGTGTGGCCTGCCTAGCTGGTATTGTTGAAGATTCTTGTCTCGATATAAACCTATGATTCTCAACATGAATTATTTCATCCAGTCTTGTCATTCATAGTAAAAGACGAGCAAATACTTAAACTAACTGCCCAACGCTGCACCTAGGATGACAACTTCAGTTTCATTAGGTTCTGCCTAAAAAAGCTCAAGACTGTGAAAAGAAGTCACTATATGGGGCTTCAAAAAATGTCATGGAAAATGAAAGTAAATGATCATGTGAATGTTTCATAAAGTTTTTTGTCTCCTAGTATTTGTTCTTGCCAATACCCAATATAGCTACTGTCTTGCAGTCTGCCAGAGATGGTAGAAATCTAACTTATATAAGGACCAATTAGCAAACCCAGAGGAGAGCCACATAGACAAGCCTCTTTTTTCCATTTTTATGAATGTCCACCTTCCTGATTTTGTTTCCCTTCCTTTCTCCCTTATTTCCCCTTTGAATGGCCCAGTGACCTCTGCAACAATTGGTGTTGAATTCAGCTCCACTGGACCTCTACTTCAAGCAGTGCTTGCCTTTGTTGTGAACTGCAACTTCAGCAATACTCCCTCTGATGTTCTGGCGGAACTGATTACAGAGTTTGATGCTACCCCTAGTAGAGTAACTAGCTCTAGGGGAAGGTCAATGGGCAAGAGAAGGAGAAAAACCAAGCAAGTGAAGGCTGGAGGAAGGTACGACTTCAACAAAGGCCTTAGTGGTGATGAGTTTTAAAGAAAGGCTGTTTCCCATTAGGGAAAATATTTGAATCCTCGGTTGTATATTTTTGAAGAAATATTCCTCATGGTAAGAATTTTTAAGTAGAGGAATGTTCTGACCACCAAAACGTACTCATTTGCCTTCTTTCTGTTAAAAAATGTGCTGTTTTCTAAGTATTTATTTCTACCTATAAACACTAATAAATTTAATGAAAATTAGTGTCATTCATTTCTATACACAAGAACATGCTATTGTCAGAATATTTATTATATTACCTATAACATTATACATCCTATACTTAGGAATATGACTTAAATCTTGCAATCGGGATTTCACTGTTTATGCTCTTTTCAGCCATGTTGTGGCCTTTAACCTTTATTTTTTGACAGCAATACAGGCAATTTTATAATTTAACCTTATGCTTTAAGGTCCAAAAAGCAAACTTAAATTGAGATAAGATAAAACAGATATTAGATATGCTCAATAGATTTACTTAGATCCATTAATTTAGCATCAATGCATAACACATTCCAAAGCAAGCATACATCAAATTAAAATTGGATAATCTTTAGTTGGGTTTAATAATTGGATAAATGGTCAAATGATTTCCATTGCATATTATTTGTGGGCATGCATTTCATTACTTATTGATTTGCTTTACTGATTAACATATCAATTAATTGCTTGAAAAGAATAGGGGAAATAATCATGGGAAACATCAGCATGGAGAATATGCCTCTCGTGGCTGCAAACAGAGTAGATGGCAGGTGATGGTACTGAATATCTAACTCCCACTGAGACCTCTAGGGCACATTTTGGTACAGGTGGGTAAGTAATGTTTATAATCTAAAAAATGAGAAAATATAAAAATAGAAGTAGAAAACCTCAGACAAGTTAAAATACAGAAAAATTTAAGCCAAGTTATTTGAATCAGGCAATATTTAATATATCAAATATTAATCTTAACAACTATATATAAAGTAATGTAGAGCCAGGACATTAGCTGTGTCAAAGTGCAGCAGGCATCCTGGCCACCCCAGCATCCTTTGCCACAGTTAGTGTTTCCTGAATACACACTTGGGCACCCCCTTGTTACAACAGAACTTTATTATTGATATTATAAAAATAACCATTCTCTAAATGATTACACTTAGTAAATAAAATAAGGAATATATATATATATATATAAGTATTTGACTAATTGCAATTTGTTTAAGGATCACTTGCGACTTCTTCTGCTTGTTTCACAAACCTGTAGAGGAGAAATAAAATGAAAAAGGTGCTTAATAATATGTCCACATGCAGCATTTTTTTTTTTAAATTGGAGCATTAATGCTCATGTTTCTTCTATACTGTATAAACTTTGACAATAGCACTAACATTAGAATACTAGCTTTATTAACCACATTTTGCTTTCAGTGCAAGAATGTCTGGTATTTGTATAAAATTCTTATCATCTTAGGACAGAAAAGGAAATTATCCACATTTCTAGATTATTTTCTTTACCTTTTCTTCATTGTTCTGTGTGCCAGTTAATATTTAATATTTAAGAATAACTAATTAGAACATAAACATTTTGAGAGAAGATGATCAATCTGCAAAGTATTTTCAGGGCCTCAACCCATATATTACAATGAAAATTTTCTCTATAAAATATTTATTTAGTGAAAGAGAGGGAGAAGAGGGAGGAAGGAAGAAATGTAAGAAGGAAGGAAGGAAAGAGAAGGAAGGAAGGAGGGGAAGAAGGAAGGAGGAGAAGGAGGCAAGAAGAGAACCCAGTTGGGCTATTTTTAATGCAGATTTCTTTTATTTTAAGTTTATTTAAGTTATGCAAGATTCATATATTTCATATATACAGATTTAGGAATATAATGAAATGTTCCCCCTACAGTGACTTGATCAGCTCTTGTGCTGACTGTTGATGTACAATTTCCCTGATTGGTAGTGATCCTGAACATTTTTTCATGTGTCTGTTAATCATTTGGATTTCCTCTTTTGAAAAATGTCTATTGAGGTCCTTGGCCCATCTCTTAAGTGGGTTGTTTGTTTTGTTGTTGTAGAGTTTCTTGATCTCTTTGTAGATTCTGTTTATTAACCCTTTATCTGTTTCATAGTTTGCAAACATTTTTTCCCATTCTATCAGTTGCCTCTTCACTTTCCTGACTGTTTACTTGCCATACAGAAACTTCTCAATCTGATGCAATCCCAATTGTTAATTTTGGCTTTGACCGCCTGTGCTTCAGAGTCTTTTCCAAGAAGTCTTTGCCGGTGCCTATATCTGGCAGGGTTTCTCCAATGTTCTCTAATAGTTTGATGGTGTCAGGTCGTAGATTTAGGTCTTTAATCCATTTTGAGTGGATTTTTGTGTAAGGTGAAAGGTAGGGGTCTTGCTTCATGCTTCTGTATGTGGAAATCCAGTTTTCCCAGAACCATTTATTTAGTAGAGTGTCCTTACTCCAGGAATTGGCTTTAGATTCTTGATAAAATATAAGTTGGCTACAGAAGTTTGGGTTGATTTCTGGTGCTTCTATTCTGTTCCATTGGTCTATCCATCTGTTTCTGTACCAGTTTCATGCTGTTTTGATGTTTTCTTTAGTGCACGGTTTTGCTTTTGATTGCTTTTGAGTAGTCCTATGATTAATTTTTTGAAATTCCATTTCCATCATTGCCCCAACCTCCTCATCTTCATATTCTAATATTTAAATGTTGTTATGTTCCTTTCAGGGAGTCATGGTGTTTTCCTGCTTCTTGTTTCTTGAATTTCTTGTGTTTGTTTTTAGGCATTTGTGATTTTCCCCCCCTCTGATGGCTTTTATCTTTGATCTGTGGTTTAGTGGCTTAGTGGGATGTCTGCATTTTCAGTGAATATCAAGACATGTGTGATGAGTGTGTCCAGGGAGCTCTAGTCAGGGATCCAGGGTGGGACAGGTATCCAGGGTAACTCCCAAGTGAGCACTGTAGATCTCAGTGCCCAGTATTAGCTCCCAATGTGTTCCATCCCACAGTATGAATCACAGAGATCATCTGTTCAGTCCTAACTATGAGCAGAGTGAGTGCGTGGAGCTGCTCCCAGTGATTACCTAGAGACCCAGCCCCTCCCTGCACCTTCTTATGTCACCACTGAGTCCCCCTGGTCTCAGCACACAGGGCTCCCACAGTCACCTGGTGCAAATATTTCTGTCGCCCCCAACCTGTCTAGTCAAAAGAAAGTCAGATTTTCAACGAAACCACTCTGCCTAGGTGTTTTTATCATAGGAGGCTGGGGGCACCTCACCATTCTACATGGTTGCCCAGCCACCTCCAAGCCAGGCTCAAAGTCAGTGAAGACTACAGATTTTCCCCCTCTGCTAGAATCATTGGATCACACAGGAACACAAGAACCACTGTCCAAATGTTGCTCCATCATTGCCACCTGGACCCAAAATGATGCCTTGTCTTTCTCAGCTGGGCAGCAGGCACTGTCATGCTGCAGTTGGAGCAAGAAGAATAGGCCCCCTCTGCTTTCACTGGGTCTGCAGGCAACCACTTGCAACCACTCTCAACCGCTAGTTTCCAGGGCTCCAGTCCTGACACACCATAATCTCCCTCGAGCTGTTTCACCATGAGTTGTTGCAGTCCAGTCTCATCTTCATCTCCAAGCTGCCACCCACTCCAACTCTTGGCCGCTGTAGTTGTAGGCTGTGCCCGCATTTGTGTTGCGCATCTGCACCCTTCACACAGGTCCATGGAATTCCTCCTACTGTTATAAGATTTCCAGTGTGGTTTTCTTTCTGATTCTCTCCAGAAAGTGCACTTCCTACACCCCTTTCTTTCACTGTTTTTTTTAAAGACTTATTTATTTGAAAGGCAGAGTTAGAGAGAGGCAGAGGTAGAGAGAGAGAGACTGAAAGGTCATCCATCCGATGGTTCACTCCCCAGTTTGCTGCAATAGCCAGAGCTGTGCCAATCCGAAGCCAGGAGCCAGAAGCTTCCTGAAGGTCTCCCATGTTGGTGCAGGGGTCCAAGGACTCGGGCCATCTGCTTTCCCAGGCCATAGCAGAGAGCTGGATCAGAAGTGGAGCAGCGGTGGGGCCGGCACCATGGCGCAATAGGTTAATCCTCCACCTGCGGCCCTGGCATCTCATATGGGTGCCAGTTCTAGTCCAGGCTGCTCCTTTTCCAATCCAGCTCTCTTCTGTGGCCTGGGAAAGCAGCATGGGAAGCGGGATACACAGTAGACTCATAGAATGGCAGATGTCCTAAATAGCACTCTTGCCTCAGAATCAGCCCTTAAGGCAGTCGGATATGGCTGAAGAGCCCATGAGAATATTTTAGGCATGGAAAGCCAAGACACTCTGGCAAAAAAAAAAAAAAAGAAAAAAAAAAGAAACTAAATGGAAGATCTCTGCAAGTGAGATCCCAATGGAAAGGACAGGGCCATCAAAGAAGGAGGTACCTTTCTCTGAAGGGAGGAGAGAACTTTCACTTTGACTATGATCCTGTCTGAATAAGATCAAAGTTGGCGAACTCAAAAGGCTTCCATAGCCTTGGCAACTCTTGACTAGAGCCTAGGGAGATTACTGACGCCATAAACAAGAGTGTCAAATTGTTAAGTCAACAACAGGAGTCACTGTGTACTTACTTCTCATGTGGGATCTGTCCTTAATGTGTTGTCCAATGTGAAGTAATGCTATAACTAGTACTGAAACAGTATTTTACACTTTGTGTTTCTGTGTGGGTGCAAACTGATGAAATCTTTACTTAATATATACTAAATTGATCTTTTGTATATAAAGATAATTGAAAATGAATCTTGATGTGAATGGAATGGGAGGGCAGCGGGAGATGGGAGGGGTGCGAGTGGGAGGGAAATTATGGGGGGAAGCCATTGTAATCCATAAACTGTACTTTGGAAATTCATATTTACTAAATAAAAAAAAACAATAATCAATCCTCAAAAATGTTAATTTTGCTCGTATACTTTACATATTCTTGCACTCTATTAGTTATCATACATCAGGGAAACATATGATATTTGTTGGGATAGGCTTATTGCACTAAGTATAATGATTCCCAGTTGCATCCATTTTGTTGCAAAATACTGTATTTCATTCTTTTTATAGTTCAGTAGTATTTCATAGTGTATATATGCCACATTTTCTTTATCCAATCATTGCTTAATGAGCACCTGGGTTGATTCTATATCTTTTTTTTTTCCAGGCAGAGTTAGACAGTGAGAGAGAGAGAGAGAGAGAGAGAGAGAGAGTTATAGACAGTGAGAGTGAGAGAGAGAAAGGTCTTCCTTCCATTGGTTTACTCCCCTAATGGCCACTATGACCAGTACTGTGCTAATCCAAAGCCAGGAGCCAGGTACTTCCTCCTGGTCTCCCATGTGTGTGCAGGGACCCAAGCACTTCGGCCATCCTCTGCTGCCCTCCCGGGCCACAGCAGAGAGCTGTACTAGAAGAGGAGCAACCGGGACTAGTATCCAACACCCCAACCTGGACTAGAACTTGGTGTGCCGGCACCACAGGCGGAGGATTAGCCAAGTGAGCCAAGGCACTGGCCAGATTCTATATCTTAGCTATTGTGAATTGAGCTGCTATAAACATGGGGGCACAGATAACTCTTTCATATGCAGATTTCATTTTGTTTGGGTAAATCCCAATGAGTGGGATTGCTGGGCCATAGGGTAGGTTTATTTTCAGCATTCTATACAATCTCCATATTATCTCACACAATGTCTAATTCACATTCCTACCAACTGTATTAGGATATCTTTCCCCCACATCCCCACCAGTATTTTTTTTATTTTTTTAATTTCTGTATGAAAGCCATTCCAACAGGGATGAGGTGAAACCTCATTGTGGTTTTGATTTGCATTTCCATGATAGCTAGTGATCCTGAGCATTTTTCATTTATCTCTTGGCCATTTGAATTTCAGCCTTTGAAAAATGCCTGTATAAGTCCTTTCTCTATTTCTTAACTAGATTGTTTGCTTTGTTATTGTTGAGTTACTTGAGCTCTTTATAGATTATGGATATTATTTCTTTACCAGTTGCATAGGTTGCAAATATTTTCTCCCACTCTGTTGGTTGCCTCTTCACTTTGTTGAGCATTTCTTTTACAGTGCAGAAACTTCTCAGCTTAATGTTATCCAATTTGTGAAGTTTTGCTTTAATAGCCTGTGTCTCTAAGATCTTTGAAGTGTTTGTGTATGTCAATGTCTTGCAGAGATTCTCCAATGTTCTTCTATAATAATTCAATGGTATC